CCATTTTTTTTACCCTCTGAGGACGTCAAATGTAACTATGTTTCTAAACCCCTCAACCACTCACTCTCTTGGTCTCACCTAAACTTTGTTACCACAAATACTGCCCTGGCTCCAAAATCTTATACACGAGCATCCTGTTCTCAGACTACAATACTTCTTTATCCTTCTAAGTTATGTGCCCAAGTACTCCCACTACAGTTGTTTAATTACATTTAGACCACCCTGATTTACCATTCATGTCTGTTCTTAGCCAATTTAAAGTTCATGGTCTAACACTGTAATCACATGCTTAAAAAGATACTAAATTTCAATGTCTCTTCTTTACTTGTTAATACTCGCAAAATCCCAAATCTTGATGAACTAGACAATTCTTTTTACCAACAAATATTCCAGGACATGGACATAGATGGAGAAAATTGTACAACCAGAAAGACTGGTTTTATTTAAAAATTGTCTCAATCTCTTAGCACTGACAGTCCTACGCTCTGATATGTCTGTTTCGTATCAACTTTCTCTTCATCCCTCCTGCCCCATATATTTTCTACCCTCACCACCCAGTTGATAACCTAATCCAGTGGTTCTTAAAGTGTGGTACCTAGCCCAGTAGCACGAACCTCATCTGGGAACTTGTTAGAAACGAAAATTCTGAAGTCATACTTAAGACCTACCAAGTCAGAAACTCTGGGGATGGGGCCCAGCAATTTGTGTTTTAACAAGCCTTGCAAATTGATTCTGATGTCTGCAAAAATTTGAAAACTACTGATCTAACCCCATACTTCATTGAGAAGCCATTCTCTAGAATGCAAGCTCCAGAGATGGGTTATTTTTGGTTTTTGTTTGTTTGTTTTTGTTTTAAGAGTATAGTTGACATACAGTGTTAGTTTCAGGTAAACCACACAGTGAGTCAACAATTATACATTATGAAAACTCACCACATATAGTAACCATACAAATTTAGTACAGTATTATTGATGGTATTCCCAATGCTGTACTTCTCATCCCTGTAACTTATTTTATAACTGGGAGTTTGTACCTTTTAATCCCCTTTACCCATTTTCCCCACCTCCCTCCCCACTGGCAACCACTAGTTTGTTCTTCGTATTTATTTCTATTTCTGTTGTTTGTTCATTTGTTTTTTGGATCCCACATATAAGTGAAATCATATGGTCCTTTTTTTGACTTATTTCACTTAGGTTCATCCATGTTATTGTGAATGGCAGGATTTCACTCTTTTTTATAGCTAATATTCCATTGTATATATACCACATCTTCTTTATCTGTTCATCTGTGGACAGACATTTAGGTTGTTTCCTTATGTTGGCTGTTGTAAATAGTGCTGCAACAAACATAAGGGTGCATGTATCTTTTTGAACTAGTGTTTTGGTTTTCTTTGGGTAAATACCCAGAGGTGGAATTACTAGGTTGTATGATATCTCTAATTTTTTGAGCAACCTCCATGCTGTGTTCTGTAGTGGCTGCACCAATTTACATTCTCACCAACAGGCTCCAAAGGCCGGAGTTTTTGTCTTTTATGGTCATTTATACCCTGAGCACCAGAACTGTGCCTGGAACACTGTAAGCCTCAATAAGTTACTGTTGACTCAAACCTTTAGATGGGAACTCTCTTACTTTCCTACTAAGAAATCTAGAAACCTACCTGCATCTGTACCCATTTTCTTCCTTTCTTTTCCAACTGGTGAAATGTGCCTCATGCTATCACAGGTCAGCAATTTCCAGATATGTTTTGGATCTCTTCTCTTCTTGCTTTCTCAGGAACTTCACTCCTTTGGTCATCCCCTGTCTCCTGCATTATCTATCAATCTTTCTCTACTAGATTATTTCATTTAGTATACAGTCAGATTCTACACCATTCTAAAATAAGAACAAGCTGTCCCTGTCCTCAAATGACCTTTTACTTACTGCCACACCTCTTTGCCTCCCACTTACCCATTCTAGTCTTATTTTCACCCCCACTAGTCAATGGTTCTTAACAAAGTCAATGATTTTTTAAACATCTTTATTGAGATATAATTCACATAGCATAAAAGTTACCCATTTATTTATTTATTTTTAAGATTCTTTATTTATTTGATAGAGAGAGACACAGCGAGAGAGGGAACACAAGCAGGGGGAGTGGGAGAGGGAGAAGCAGGCTTCCCGTGGAGAAGGGAGCCCAATGCAGGGCTCAATCCCAGGACCCTGGGATCATGACCTGAGCCGAAGGCAGATGCTGAACGACTGAGCCACCCAGGCGCCCCAAAAGTTACCCATTGAAAGTATACAATTCAGGGGTTTTAGTACATTCATAATTGTTTAACCATCACTACAATCCAAGACTTAGAACATTTTCATCACTCCAAAAAGAAACCTTCTACCCATCAGCAGTTACTCCCTACTCACCTCACCCGTCTGCCCTAGGCTATTGCTACTGTACTCTGTTCCTGTAGATTTGCTTATTCTGGACTTTTTATATAAATGGAATCATAGAGTATGTGGTCTTTTGTGACTGGCTTCTATCACCATAATGTTTCCAAGGTTTATCTACATTGTAGCATGTATCAATACTTTATTCCTTTTGTGGCTGAATAATATTCCATTATATGAATATACTGCTTTTATTGATCCATAATCAGTTGATGGGTAGTTGGTTGTTTCTATTCTTTGGCTATTATGAATAATGGTGCTATGAACATTCATGCACATGTTTTGTGTTGATGTATGTTTTTACTTCTCTTGGATATATACCTGTAAGGGGAATTGCTGGGCTATATAATAACTTCAAAATCTTAAGGAACTGCCAAAGCAGCTGTACCAGCTATCAGAAATATTGTTGTGACCTGTTTTAGAAAAACAGTCTGCCATGTCTGTTCCTTTTTTAATTTTTATTTTATTTTTTTATTTTTATTTTTTTAAAGATTTCATTTTTTATGCATTTGACAGAGAGAGACATAGCGAGAGAGGGAACACAAGCAGGGGGGAGTGGGAGAGGGAGAAGCAGGCTTCCCGCCGAGCAGGGAGCCCGATGCGGGGCTCGATCCCAGGACCCTGGGATCATGACCTGAGCTGAAGGCAGACGCTCAACGACTGAGCCATCCAGGTGCCCCTTTATTTTATTTTTTTAAAAGATTTTATTTATTTGAGAGGGAGAAAGAGAGAGAGAACAAGTGAGAGCACAAGGGCAGGGGAAGGGAGAAGCAGACTCCCCACTGAGCAGGAAGACCAATGCTGCAGGGCTCAATCCCAGGACCCTGTGCTCATGACCAGAGCTGAAGGCAGCTGCTTAACTACCTGAGCCACCCAGGCACCCCTGCCATGTCTGTTCTGGCCACACAATTCACATCCTTCACACATACAGAATACACCCCCTTGCCCCCCACCCCCCGTAAGGTATCCCAAAGTTCCATCCCTTAATGGCCTCAGGCTCAGGCTGGAGGTTTAGGAACTCAGTGAGGTCAAGTGCAGGTGAGATTCCTTGGGTATAATTTCTTGATGAAAGCTCCTTCAATATAATTCCACTTGATGTGAAAACGTGGTGATTAAAGAAGCAAACTACACCCTTCCCATAACTCCCCAGCATACAATGGTGAGGCGTGAGATAACTTTCCTATTCTGAAAGGGTTTGGAAAACAAGAGGCAATTCTCTTTTTATAATTTCTTCCTATGTGATGTATTCTATTTCAGTAGTTTTAAATATCCTCCGTACATTCATGACTTCCAAATTTCCTAACATCTCTGAGCTCCACACTATTTAATAACTTCCACTTCATTTGATACCTTCATTAGGATATTTCACAGATATTTCCAACTTAACATGCTAAAATTAATTCTTGTTTTCTTCTTTACCCTTTGCCTCCACAAACCTGTTCTTTTCCTGGTTTCTCCATCTAGGTGAATGATGCCACCATTCACCTAGTTGCTCAGACCAAAATCCAGGACTCAGCCTTAATTCTTTTCTCTTATCTCTATATTCCAATAATCAGCAAGTTCTGTATTTTCTTTCTTTAGAATATACTCACTTTTTTTTCAGTCTCACCCGGATTACAACAATCTCCTTACTGGCCACCCTCCTTCATTCTTGCCCCTTTCTGATTTCCTTTGGCATAGCAGTCAAAGTCAGATTTTAATTAATATGTCTGGTTATGGCATGCTGTTGCTCACAATCTTCAGTGAGTTTTTTTTTTTAAGATTTTATTTATCTATTTGACAGAGAGAGACACAGCGAGAGAGGGAACACAAGCAGGGGGAGTGGGAGAGGGAGAAGCAGGCTTCCCACTGAGCAGGGAGCCTGATGTGGGACTCGATCCCAGGACCCTGGGACCATATCCTGAGCCGAAGGCAGCGCTTAACGGCTGAGCCACCCAGGCGCCCCCTTCAGTGACTTTTCACTGCACTTTGAGATCCAAATTCCTTTCCATGATCTAAAAGGTTCATATAACTGGCAGTTGCCTGTTCTTCTGACCTTATTCCCTGCCATCTTTACTCTTTATCCACCATACTTCATCTTCGCTGGGCTTTTTTCAGTTCCTCACACATACCAAGCTCTCAGAAAGGATGTGTACACATGCTATTTGCTCTGCCTAGAATATTCTCTCCCAACTTCCCACCCCCACAGAACTGAATCTTTCTTATCCTTCACGATATGGATTCCTGACCATTCTAAGTAGGTACCTCCTCTATTATTCTCTATCACTGTATCCTGTTTCTTTTATAAAACTTATCCCGGTTTTAAGTTGTGTCCTGTTTGTTTACTTGTTTATCATCTGTCTCCCTAACTAGATTTTAAGCCCTACTGGGTCAGAGGCCATGTCTGTGTTGTTCAGCATATACCCAGTGCCAAAAGGCAGAGTGCGTAGCACATGATATGCACTCAGTAAATATGTGTTGAATAGTATTTAAAGACATAATTTGTTTTGAGACAGGTATGTTAATAATTAGTAATAACGTTAAATGTATTATTTCCTCGTTCTTACTGAAATAGTCCTTTTTTCTTTCAGTAATTGCCCTTCCTTTTTGGCTGCTGCTTTAGCCAGAGCCACAGCAGACGAAGTCCTTCAGAGTGACCTTTCTGCACATTATCTCCCAAAGGAAACAGATGGCACAGAAGGGACTGTGGGTGAGTACCTTTCCTACATCATTTGATTAAAAATATTAAAATCTTCTCATGTGTAGTAACCCAAAGAGAATGTCTACACAATATGAAATCTAATTATGTTTACCCACTTGTTGATTTTATAGAGGTAGCAAGAGAAAAAAATGCGAGTATGTATTTCAAACTGGTCAGTAAAAGGAGGGAAAAAAAATACAGGTATATTTTGAAAATGTGATGACAATTGGAGCAAGAGATTAACATAACAGAATATCATCAGAATACATTCTGATAACAATATCAGAATATTAACAATAAATAATGCCTAGGTAAGTGGAAAGAGTAAAGTGAGAAGTGTGAAGACACAACAAAAGATGAGTGAGTGAGGGGAGAGAGTTTGAGCAAGACCTATTTAAAATATTTAGCTTACCTTTAAGAATCCAAGTAAAAAATCATATAAAAATTCAAGAAATCAGTTTTAACAAAACTTCTCATTAATTATATTAAATTATATTTCTACCAATAAATAGAGTTCTACATGACAACTATTTAATGTGTGATTTAATTGCATGGATCACTGTACATCTTTTTTCTAGGCAAACTAAGAGGCTTTATTTATTTATTTATTTTAAAAGATTTTATTTATTTGAGAGAGAGCACAAGCAAAGGGAGCAGCAGGCAGAGGGAGAGGGAGAAGCAGGCTCCCCGAGGAGCAGGGAGCCCGATGCGGGGCTTGATCCCAGGACCCTGGGATCATGACCTGAGCCAAAGGCAGATGCTTAACTGACTGAGCCTCCCAGGTGCCCCTAAGAGGCTTTATTTATTAATGAAGGCATATTTATTAACATATTAGGTTTATACATATTTGACAGGGTCTAAGGAAAATTAGGAATTACTGCTTAAAATTGTCAAGGAATTTGAATATTTCACTTTATTTGTTCTATTTTAAGCATTTGCCTTTAAACATGGTGCATAAGGAACAAAACATATATTAATGAATCAGAATAACTAGATCCCAGAGAACTTGAGGCAGATATAAAAGTAAATATATCTGTTCTTACTTTATCTTTCTAGATCATTTTTGGCAGAAAATTGGCAAGAAAGGAATTCCTCCTCTTGTTTTTACTGAGAGTAATTGATTCACTTGGGAACCAAATTGTTCCAGAGTCAACTTGGATGGAATTCCTGCTACAAAGCATTGGTCTTTCCTCTGGTACTGATGCATGAAGTGAAAGCCCTGTAATGAAAAGATGAGGGAGATGGAATTCTGCTTCACTGTAGCCTGGGTGGTGGCTGACTCAGCTCCAGCTCAGTACAGTGACATTAACGACTAATGAGTAATTTACAGCTGCGAGGGGGTGGATTGCTACTTGGGACAATTTTCTCTTTTTCACACCCTTTTTTAATTTTATTTTTCCATTTCAAGCAGCAATTATTTATATACTGATGTTCTACACTCCCTGCAGAAGGATAATACTTAACGTAGCAAGACTAAAGTGCAGCCCTGCATGCCTGCTTTGGAACTAAACCCTCATAAGATAGTAAAGTGAAATGACGGGTTTTTGTTTTTTTTTTCTTTTGGTGGTATCATTGGTCATTCTGATTTTCTGTTTTTTCAAGAGATTACCCAGGGGCGCCTGGGTGGCTCAGTCGTTAAGCGTCTGCCTTTGGCTCAGGTCATGATCCCAGGGTCCTGGGATCGAGCCCCGCATCGAGCCCCACATCAAGCCCCTCATCGAGCCCCTCATCGAGCCCCTCATCGAGCCCCGCATCGAGCCCCGCATCGAGCCCTGCATCAGGCTCCCTGCTTGGTGGGAAGCCTGCTTCTCCCTCTCCCACTCCCCCTGCTTGTGTTCCCTCTCTCGCTGTCTCTCTCTCCGTCAAATAAATAAATAAAAAATTAAAAAAAAAAAAAAAAGATTACCCAGTAGTGTCTCCCTGCCATGGCTGTGATTCAGAATGATCTATTGTAATTCTAACTCTTTGCAAGTCCTTAATCTATTTAACCCAAATCCCTCAGTGTCAGCTGCACTGAGGAGAATCTCTTCAGGTCAGATTGTGTTTATCCATACATTAGAGTGGGAAATGAGCATACTGAATAAGGCCTGCCGTCACTGGTTTAAAGACACTCAAGTCCCCGTGGAACTCTCAGTTGTTTCCAAAAACTTAAAAAAAAAAATCCTTAACCTGAAGTTCTTTTCATGTTTATGTCATCCCTACCAGAGTGTTTGCTAAACAACCTTGTGTATCTCTTGGTACAAATTTAGTTTGGCGGATATAACTCCTGTTCAGACAACCTAAAATCAATTTGAAATATCCCAATGTAAAAATTAAAAACAAGAAGGGGAAAATTATCACTAACACAGAGGAAGTTAAAAGAATTATGAAAACTTTGTGTAAATAAGTCTGAAAACCTGGGTATTTTCTAGAAAAATACAAATTAACAAAGTTTACCTGAAAAGAAAGAGATTAAGATTGTCAAGGAGCTATCTTCTAAAAAGGACAAAGAATAGGTGATTCTGGGGGCGCCTGGGTGGCTCAGTCGTTAAGCGTCTGCCTTCAGCTCAGGTCATGATCCCAGGGTCCTGGGATGGAGCCCCACATCGGGCTCTCTGCTCAGCGGGAAGCCTGCTTCTCCCTCTCCCACTCCCCCTGCTTGTGTTCCCTCTCTCACTGTTTCTCTCTTCAAATAAATAAATAAAATCTTAAAAAAAAAATAGGCGATTCTACAGGTGAACATTTTCAAATGAGCAAAGATAGACAATTCTAATGCTTTTTAAAATGAATTATCTGGGGTGCCTGGGTGGCTCAGTCGGTTGGGCTTCTGCCTTCGGCTCAGGTCATGATCCCAGGGTCCTGGGATCGAGCCCCGCGTTGGGCTCCCTGCTTGGCGGGAAGCCTGCTTCTCCCTCTTGCACTCCCCCTGCTTGTGTTCCAGCTCTCGCTGTGTCTCTCTCTGTCAAATAAATAAATAAAATCTTTAATAAAAAAAATAAATAAAATGAATTATCCAGTTGCATATGGAAGGAAAATTTACTGATAGGAAAACTTGCCTGAAATAAAACTAAAAAAGGAAACGAGAAATCAGTCTTAGTAATCAATGTAAAAAATCTTAAGTAAAATATTTGTATATTGAGTACAACAGTTCATTCATTCATTCATTTATTGAGGGCCTACCATAAGCTTAGCACTGTGCTGAGACCATAAACAAAACAAAATAATAGGAAGTCTGTTAGGATAATTTATATATTAAGGTCAAAAGAAAAACACCAGAATAATCTCAAAAGATGCCCAAAGAAGCATTTGATAAAATTCAATTATCCATTCCTATTTTAATAAATATACTTAATAATGTAGAACTAGATGAGTACATCTTGGACTTTGTAGGACAAAATTTGGCTCAGACCAAAATCTAGCATGTATGCATAATGCATACTTAAGAATTTTTTGGTTGCAAGTGACCACTAACACAACTCAAACTGGCTTTAGCAAAACAGAATTTATTGGCTACCCTTCAACATACGGGCTACACAGCTAGATTCAAGGCCTCAGATGATTCATCCCAACCTGGCATTTCTCCAAATCTCAGCTGTTTTTTCTTTCTCTTTTTCTCTTCTCCCCTCTCTTCCTTTCTTTCTTTTTTTTTTTTCAAGTAGGCTCCACATCCAACATGGGGCTCAAACCCACGAGTCTGAGATCAAGAGTTACGTGCTCTACCGACTGAGCCAGCCAGGTGCCCTTCTTTAATTCTGATTTTATTTTCAGGCTCCATGTGGTGGCAAGATGACTGCTAGATCTGCCCAGGCTCAAATCAAGCAGGAAAGTAACAGTAACTTCACTCAGTTGCTCTTACATAAATTGCAGGATTCACTCTAACCAGCCCAGCTTGGATTATTTCCAATTCCTGAACAATCAGTATAGCCAGAGGAATGTGATTGTCTAATTAGCTAGACCTGAACCACATGGTTTACCCCTAGATGCACATGGTCTGAGAGTAGAGAAGGAACTGTCTCTGGTAGAAACAGGAATGTTTGCTATGTGGCAAGTAACACATTAAAGCAAAGTTCTGACTCAAAATAGGAAATAAAGTAAAATAACTAGGAATAAATTCATTAAGAAGTATGAAGATCTTGGGGCACCTGGCTGGTTCATTTGTAAGAGCATGTGACTATCTCTGGGTTATGAGTTTGAGCTCCACATTGGGAATAGAGATTACTTAAAAAAAAAAAAAAAAAGATCCCAGATCCTATGTTAAATCCCTACTGAGCAACATAAAAAGGATTTAAATTAATGAAACAATATAACTTGTTCCTGGGTAAGACTCAATATGAAAAGGCATCAATTTTTTTGCAAATTACTCTATAAATTCAAGGCAATCCCAAACACAATGGCAACAGATTTCCCCCCTCAAACTCAGCAAAATAATTAAGAAAACTCATCTGGAAAAATAAGCATGTCAAACTATCAAGTAACATCTTTTAAAATTAATATTAGGTAGGAAAGCTAATCCTCCTGATATGAAAACATGTTATAAAGTCAAAGTAATTATAAAATAATGGCACCACTGTAGAAATAGATGGCGCGATCAGTGAAGACTCTAGAACAGATGATAAAAAAGCATACATTTTTTAGTAGTTAATTTATATAAGTTTGCATATTCATTTATTCAGTAAACATCTAATGAGCCCCTGCTATCTGCTAGGTATTGTACTATGACTAATCAAGTACAATTAAGACACAATCTGTATCTACAGTTTAATTTGGGAAATGTAGAACATGGGTGTCAGAGTTAGATAGACCTGTGATTAAAAATGGTTTTACTTGTTTGTGAAATGTTCCAGAGACAGAGGATGTAACAAACACTTAATAAATGTTATCTATTGTTACAAAATGTGGCAAGAGCTATAGTAGATGGTGTAATGGGAACATTAGGGAGGAAGCAACTGGGAGGGGATAGGAACAGATCTACTGGTTTACTAAATATTAGAGGAAGCAGGTATTGCCTCTCCTAACCAATTTAATCTGTCTAACCAGTGCTGCCCAATAGACAGCGCAATGATGGAAATGTTCTCTACCTGCGTTGTCCAGTATGGTAGCCACTGGCCATATGTAGTTACTGAGCATTTGAAATACAGCCAGTGTGACCCCAAAACAGAATTTTATTTATTTTTTTTAAAGATTTTATTTATTTATTCATGAGAGACAGAGAGAGAGAGAGAGAGAGGCAGAGGGAGAAGCAGGCTCCCAAGGAGCAGGGAGCCCGATGTGGGACTCGATCCCAGGACTCTGAGATCATGACCTGAGCCGAAGGCAGACGCTTAACCATCTGAGCCACCCAGGCGCCCGCAAAAACAATTTTAGATTTTACTTAATTTTAATTAATTTAAAGTTAAATGGCCACATGTAGCTAGTAAGAAATCTTACTGGACAGTGCAGGTCTATATAGTAAGAGTAATATACACAGCCAAAGAATGATATAATGGTTTATTATTTGGGAATCTGGGAACTAACCTGATAGTTAATATCAGTTATTTGTTTCACCCCCACTCCATTCTCCCTCAATGTTTCCAAATTTACTTACTGTTTTGCAATCCTCTGTTGTGATTGAGTCAAACTCACACCTATGCTGCTACAAAACCCAGATGGGTTGGAGTGATAAAATAGGTAATTGCTGGCTGAAAGAGATAGTCTCCGGCAATTGGTGCTTTAAAAAAATAAAGACTGGAGTTTGTCAAAACAATAAAAATACTGGCTTGTATTTGCTCTCTGAACTTCCTTTCTCTTTCAGATATACCCTTGACTTTCTGTTATATAAAAACGTCAGGGGGGACAGAGCCAAAAACCATGGTTTGCCAAACTTGTACTATGTTAATGAGAAAAAAGGCGACGAAAACCTTGAGATAAGCTTTCTGAATGTAGTCATTGTTGGAAGGATTTTGAATAAGAAAACAGGTAAATGTAGTGGCAGATTAAAGCAACAGCAGGGAAAGGAATAGAAAAGTTCCTAGGCCATTCTAGAACACAGTCACTCTCCTGTGGGGTCTGTGTTCTAGATCAGAGGAGTCACGTGCAGCCATTGCCCTTTCTGGTACATGTTTTCTCAGGCTGTCAAGCTAGATCTGATTTAGTAAAGTAAAAAAAAAAAAAAAAAAAAATTCTTGAAGAATTCTAAATCTTTTTACCTGAGATGTAGGAATCTCTAAAATACTGGCTTGAGAAAACTTAATCTCCCTTTGATTATTTAATAGCCGCAACTTGAGTAGAGGACAGCTGGAGCCGGGGTGATGTGAGATACAATCTCTTCAACACTATTCAGTGTTGCCTAAAAGGTTTACACATCTGTCCATCCATTGAGAGATGCAAGTCAGCCTCCAAAGTCAGCTCATCTACTCCACTTGATAGGTCAAGTAGTAGACTTAACAGTCTAGGGTGAAGAATCCTCTGGTTGCCATCTCCTTTGTTCTATCCAGGGTTACACCTATAGACAGAGTTTAAGTACTTTTTTCCTTAGAGACTTTTAAAACTTTTAAAAAACTTTTACCTCATTTGTTAACCTTTTAGCTAAACTATTTAAGCTATTGCCAAAAACTTTAATTAAAAAATTCATCAAATAAGAAAAATATAATTTAGTTCCAAATTCTGATCAGTTACAGGAGAGAAAAGTTAGGGAACTGGAGGGAGATAAAGGAAGAGGTCAGGAAAAAAAAGACAAAGACAAATGGTAATCACAATAAACTCTTATTCCTGTAGTTGATAAATAAATGATGTTTTCATAGGCCTTTCATATCCCAGTTGGCTGGATAACTACTGTTCATATTTCAGTCATTTTTTTTTTTAAGATTTAATTTATTTATTTGACAAAGAGAGGGAACACAAGCGGGGTGTGGGGGGGTGGGAGAGGGAGAAGCAGGCTTCCTGCATAGCAGGGAGCCCGATGCGGGGCTTGTTCCCAGGACCCTGGGATCATGAGCTGAGCTGAAGGCAGATGCTTAACCGACTGAGCCACCCAGGCACCCCTTCAGTCATTCTTCTAAGCAGGGGGAGCTTGGATCTCCAGATGATAATCACAATGGCTCTCCAGCCAACCAAAAGGGAACCAGTGTTCTGAACTAGATAGCAGTGGTTGGAGAACTTTGAGGGTTGGAAGAAATCTAGTCTAAGAGTAGATTCAACTCTGGCCAGAGGTTTTCTCCTCATGACATAAGAATATCATAGTGGCAGCTGCTGGCTGATGATTTTCTACTAGACTGGCTGTCATTTTCTCTCTTCAGAAGCAACATTTCATTTTTCTTCAGGAGGAATTTCTTCTATTAAGGAGGAACTTGATGAAGGTGACCTACTTCTGTCTTTACCCAGCAGGCAAGTGAAAAGCAGCTTTACAAGGCTCTTCACTGGGGGTGTCTGTGTTTCTTTCACAGAGATCGAAACAATGAAATTGGCCCGTTCTGTCTTCAGCAAACTACACGAGATTTGCTGCAGCTGGGTGAAAGACTTCCCTCTCCGCAGGAGACCCCAGCTTTATTATGAGACATCAATCCATGCCATCAAAAACATGCGCAGGAAAATGGAAGACAAACATGTCTGCATTCCTGACTTTAATATGCTCTTCAATCTAGAGGTAAAGGGCCCTTCTCTAGAGTCAATGAGATTTAAAAAACAAACACCTTCATGGTCTTATTTTTCTATAAGGAGAACTTCTAATATACCTCTAATAGCATCTCTGATGGTTTGGAATAGGACTAAAGGCAGAGTGGCATAAATCTGCTTGTATTAGACAACAGAAAAGAAACTTATGTTATTTTTGGTTTATTTATTTTTAAGTAAGCTCTACACCCAACGTGGGGCTTGAACTCAAACCCCGAGATCAGGAGTCACATGCTCTACCGACTAAGCCAGCCAGGCACGCCAATTTTATATTATTTGAATGGGTAATGCATTCACATTGTTCAGATTGGAAAACAAAAATCTCTCTCTTATCCTTGTGTCTCAGATGCTCAGTTCCCTTCCATGAAGGCAAGGGAAGTTATCAATTTTTTGCGTAAACTTCCAGAGCTATTCTATAAACATAGAAGCATAAAAGAAAACTGCCATATCTCAATAAAGCTGTTCTTTTTAAAAGGAAACTACAGTACTATTAGATAGTGTTTATTAAGTTCCCACATTACTGTGTTGCTGAAGCAACATAAAACACAAACATAAAAGGATGAATTTAAGACAGAGACCGTTTTCTGATTTCCAGTGATTCTCTTTTTTAAAGCTTGGTTTCTGAGATAGGAAAGTAGATGGAATTACATTTCATGAATCTCTGTGACTGACAAATTGGATCATATGAGCCTTGTCAGATTAATAACCATTTTCTTGTTATCTTCCTCTTCTTTTTCTATTAATTGTATTCTGTTAGTGCCAACAGAGGTAGGTATGTTTCCCCTGCCTGTTACTTGCCTCTTTTCTTCATTCAAGTCCATAACTTAAAAATTACAATGTAGTAATTTATACAAAGCACAGTATTTCCTTTATTTAGCAGCTAAATTTAAATTTTAGCTGTCAAGGTCTGATAAGCAGTGATGGTAGGTTAGTAATTGGTCCTTATGTTACAAAGATAGACCAACTTTGTTTCCAAATATCTGTAGAATATGTGAATATCCTTATTTCCAAATGTTACCATGCCCATGCAAATATAACCTTAAATGTTAACCTTAATGTGACAAACAATCCTTCTATCACTACACCCACTTGAAGATTATACTCCCATCTGAGGGCATTGTTGCTGTTTGTTGACCTGGTTGGTTTTCATTTTGTTTCAAAATCAGCCCAAAGGCCTAACTCAGAAGGGAACACCTTGCTTTAGAGAAAGGGTTTTGAAGGCAATTTGGCAACACATACTTATAACCTTGTATATTTTCACCACCTTTGATCTGGTAATTTCACTTTTAATTTTATATTATAAGGACACAAATGCAGGAAATTCTTACATATATGTTTTGACATAAATGTCTTACATAACATTTTCAATAATAAGCTAGAAATGATCAAAGTCATATATAGGGAGTAACTATAATATGCTCATAAGATGTATAGTACATACCCATTTCAAATGTCTGAGTAATACTTAATGACATGGGGGAAATGCTAATGATATGATAAATGACAAAAAGCAGGATATAAAATTTTATGTATAGTATAATCTTAATTTTATCTAAAAAATTTATATATATAGAAAAAAGACTGGTTATCTGTGAATGGTGGGATAATATAGATTTTTTTCTTTATTAGTCCAGATAAACAATATATCATCTTTATAACAGGGAAAACTTTTTATTTAAAAAGGTATACTAATTTTTTTAAGAGATCCACTTGGCTGTCTTCTGTTTCTTTGGATGCTATATTGTTTAAGAATCTCCCCATCAATCTCACATTGTTTAAAGTTATACTCTCATGGCCTCAAAAAGGTATTATTGTCCCCTCCTTCTTTGTGATGATCCCACATCAGCTACACTCATCATTTAAAAACTGCTTGGATATGCTATTTTTCAATTTTACCTTTATCCTGACAACTGAGTTGTTTAAAAATGAGTACTGCTTTAGTATATAGTATAGGTAGAAATTCTACATATCAGGACTTTTTTTCAAGATAGTTCTGTTTAATCAGTCAATTTTCAATGGCATTATAGATGGTATTAATTATTAACTAGTTGTAATGTCTGTATTAGATGTTGATTTCATAATATTTGGGTGTTTTTACTCTATGGACATTTATATTTGGTACTTAGTACACCCTTTAAAAAGAATTTTTTTCTGGGACGCCTGCGTGGCTTAGTTGGTTGGATGTCTGCCTTCAGCTTGGGTCATGATCCCAGGGTCCTGGTATCGAGTCCCACATTGGGCTCCCCAGTCCGTGGGGAGCCTGCTTCTTCTCCCTCTGCCTGCCGCTTCCCCCTGCTTGTATTCTCTCTCCCTTTCTCTGGCAAATGAATAAATAAAATCTTTAAAAAAAAAAAAATTTTTTTTTAAAGATTTTATTTATTTGAGAGAGAGAGACAGAGAGGAGCAGGGGGAGAGGAACAAGCAGACACTGTGCTGAGTACAGAGCCCGAGACGGGGTTTGATCCCAAGACCCTGAGATCATGACCTGAGCCAAATCAAGAGTCAATACTTAACCAACTGAGCCACCCAGGCGTGCCTAAAAATAATTTTTTCAAAACACAGATAATACCTGTTGTTTTAGTAGTTCCTCCAAATCCGTACCTAAGAGATGAGAGAAAAAGCACAAGAAAATTATATGATTTACTTTGTATATTTGATTTCCTTTGAGTGACAGGGCCTAGACTCATCTGAACTCCTAGAGCCCACCGATCAAGTCAAAGCTTGCACATGAAAATGATTACATACTGTTGCCTAAGGGAGTCCAGGACTCAAGTGAGTTCAGTGAGCTACAGATCTCCTAAGTAAGCTAGATCTGAGATGTACACACTGGAGTTGAAGATAAAGCAGCAAACTACTTAATGGTTTAAATGTAGTATTGTGATTAGGCTTCCTTTGTCAAGACAGATCCTCTTCTGGCAGTTGCCTTAGTGTTTCAAGCAGTGGGTGGGCCAGGAAGGGTGAAGCTAAATCTTGGTTAGGGGACAAGGCAAAATGGTTACGGGGCATTTGGATATCTGATTTGCTTTAAGTTTGGCTGACCAGTTTAGAGACTCTGTTATTTATGGTGAGTATTCAATGTGACTATGATTTATGAAGAACATACTACAGCTTAGAAGTATGTGTATGCTTTCGTTATCTCTGTATTTTAAACAACCTAACATAATTGGTCTTGTGCTGAAGGCCAGTTATCTCCTATTGCTCTCAGTTTCTAATTTTATTAGAATACTTTCATTTTGAAAAAAGCACTCAATCCAGAACAGCTTTTGCTCAATTCCTCCTCATACTTTCTCTTCCCTCCCCCTTCCCACAACTTGTAACAGCAGTTTTGATGCAACTGCATGTGGGCGGTTTCCATGGTACAAGACGGCGACTTTCACTGAGGGCACTTCAGCCTGAGCTAATTGGCCACGATGTGTCCCAGTGTTGTGTGTGTAAACACAGATACCCCAGTGCTGCAGGTATTTTAGCAGTTGATCAGGCATGTCAAAAAAGAGAAACATTTAGTCTCATTGTCTAGGTGACAAGTGCAGTGGAGGAGGAGAATGGGCATCATCAGTACAATGGATTGGTTCCTTTGAGTCATGCTGTACCTCACTTCCTTAACCGTTTGTTTTTCTATCGACAGGACCAGGAAGAACAAGCCTACTTTGCAGTCTTTGATGGCCATGGGGGAGTGGATGCTGCCATTTATGCCTCCATTCACCTGCACGTTAATTTAGTCCGCCAGGAGATGTTCCCCCATGATCCTGCTGAGGCCCTGTGCCGGGCCTTCCGGGTCACTGATGAGCGGTTTGTGCAGAAAGCAGCCAGGGAGGTATGCCATTTCCTCATAAATTCCAGCCATGAATACACTAGCTAAGCTCAACTTGGTCCATGGTTCATGGGCTATTTTGGGTTTTCTCTTTTGGGGCAGGCGTTATTATTTAAAGTTCTTTCAAGCTGTATTCTTGACCCACAATATTGGATTCTCTTGTAGTTCTAATTCCATCTTAAGGGTTTTAGTGGGGTGATGTGATGTGCTGTAGAGAAACTCCAAAGTTATAATTTTCTAGAAAGCCAGTCCATTGCTGGATTTGGCAGGTGAGTTTTAGCTTTCTTATTTACCAGTGCCTGTCAGCTTCACACGAGGACCATCTCTCTAAGCAGACTTTTGCTGACAAAATCTGGATACAGTGATTAAAACAATGGACTAAAAAGGAAACAGAAGTTGGATTACTCCCATACGTTTGGGTCTAAGTGGGTTGGCAGTGTTTTACTGTGTATCTCTTGAGGGAAAAGTTGCTTGGAGAGCGAATCCTTAGATGATTCTTGAACTGATTTTACAGGAAGAAAAGTCAGAGCTCATGTCCTAATTTCTTAAGGTTAATCAGACCTAAGGTTTTTACTCTGAATGAATGACAGGGGCTCTATATTAAGATCTAAAAGTAAAAATTTTAATCTAATTATCATTCTGGGCATTGGTATATGATTAACTACAGTACTCTATATTCATTTTTAACTGGGGGCCAATAGCAAGATAATTTTTAATTTTTAAAAGTAATTACAGAATCATTATACATATAAAAAATAAGACTCCTGCCCTATGAATTAAACATTAACTGTTTTGGAAAGGACTTGGAAAGAGCAGGGTCATCATTTAATCCATTTCTTTGATTTCATTGTTATGCTACACATCGGTAGTGGTGCTTGGAATCAGTGAAACAGTAATTCAGAACTATTTGGTATTAAGCAAGGAAAATGTTCTGTTTCCCCACCTTTACCCCAGGTTTAGTTTAGTATGCAAATCCAACAACAGTGACCACTAGGGTCTACCTCCAGAGGTGGGGCTAGAAAACAATACAGTTGTTGACCTCAGACTGTCCCGGAGTCTTGAGGGTTGGCACTGCTCAGTTCTGCCTACCTTGGAGCTACTGGCTGTCGTCATTTTGACTAAGGCCAAGGCCTGGCCCGAGAGGTGACCTGTAAGATCACAGGAAACTAAGAGAATCACTTTGTCTTCTTCTGTTCTATCCTTTTTTCCTCTGTGTCCTCAAAATTATGGCTTTTTTCTCTGACCATGTTCACCTCATTTACTTTGCCAGTGATCCTAGTGTCTCTCAGTCTTGCCAATAGTTCTTTTGAATAATTTAGGTTTGTCTCAGCACTTTTTTCCTTCTTCTGCTCCCATGTGCTGCTAACTGCTGGGAAGAAAGGAGCTATTCCTGTTGTGAAGCAGCCGTGCCTCCTGTTCTCTGCAGGGCATGTGCACTCGAGTGTCTTTGTCATGTGTTCCAGGGGGCTGAGGCTTTGAACATTCTGGGTGGGAAGACATTTTATTGGTGGGTGAGGATTTATAACAAACTTTCCCTATATAGGAAAAATGAGAAGTTGTTTTTCTCATTGGATACAAGGGGCCTTTTACCATCCTTGACGCACTGGTTCTAATTTAGGACAAGTCCTTGGTAACAGAAAGTCATGCTTATTTGGTGGTGACTCATGTCAAATGGGGATGTCACTGAATGTAGTAGTATCAGGAGCATGAAGTACACTGCTACTGAGCTACTGCAGTGAAGCTCCAGGCTGTTCTTTATGCAGTGTTCCAAAAGCAGAGGCCCCTAAAATTATTGTAGGTGATTTTTTTTTTTTTAAGTATAAGCAACTTAGCATGCCAGGAAATATATGTTATCTCTTGGCTCCTATCTTAAGACTCAAGAGTGTGGGAGCATTTGTTGTGTACCTATCAGATCCTTTGTAATGCTAGGACCTTCCCCTTGTCCATACTCTAGGTCAGTGACAAAACAGAGACCAGAACATGGAAATCTTTAAGGACTGCTGTAGTGGATTGAATGCTGGACTGGGAGGAAAAAGAATTTCAGTTCTGTTTTGTGTACTAATGAGTTACCCGCTCTTGGAAAGGTCACATAACCTGCCACAGTTTTCTTATTTGTACATAAAATGAAATGAATAATCATCCCTGCCTTGCATATCATAGGTAACATGGATCTATGTGTGTACACATACATCCATGCACATAAAAATGCAGAGAAATAGGAATTGCTGTTTGTTGTGAAATCGAGTTACTAATAGTCTAGACCCCAACGAAAAGTCTGTGTTAACTATAAATTGCTTCTCAATGAGAATTTGAAGTCTGTTTATTTTTACTGACTCTAGTTTTATTTAATTACTTTCAGAGTTTAAGATGTGGGACCACAGGAGTGGTGACTTTCATCAGAGGGAACATGCTCCATGTGGCCTGGGTTGGGGATTCCCAGGTCATGCTTGTGAGAAAAGGGCAAGCGGTTGAGCTAATGAAGCCACACAAACCAGACAGGGAGGTAAGTGTGCTCCGTTCTGGGAGGGCACGTGCCACAGAGGCGGGTTTCTAGCTAGTAGTTAAGATTCACTTGCTTATTCTGATTACCACTGTTATCTGAGCAACCATGCCCACCTCACAGAGGAGGAATAAAGAGAACCTTTCCTGGAAGCTGATGAGTATTCTATCTGTTGTTTACTGTTAAGGTAGACAAATAAATCCTGAATCCAATTATTTGCTTCTTTCTATTGCATTGCTGTTTAGGATGAAAAGCAGCGAATTGAGGCTCTTGGAGGTTGTGTAGTCTGGTTTGGTGCCTGGAGGGTGAATGGAAGTCTGTCGGTCTCCCGAGCTATTGGTAGGAAAAACCATTCCTTTTTGTTTCTCCAAACTGTCCTCTTCTAGCTCATTGTCTCATATTAATTCTGCTACATTAAGGGAACCTGAGATGGTAATTTATATTATCAGAGTGCTTATTATTGTTTAAAGTAACAATTAGATAATGCCTCTTTTATTTAATTAACCTATTCATTTATATACTTAAATTCCATTATTGAAAGGGAACTATATTAAGAAATGCAGAGCTTACTAGTTTTTGTTTTTTTTTTTTTTTTTAATGGAAGCCTTTAATCTTTGGGACACAAATCTGCTTAAAACTACAGTGATCCTCATTTCATTCCATTTTGGATCATATTTAACTTAACTTAGTATTTTCAAGAGAATGGAAGGCTCCCCTCCCTATATTTTACCTTGCTTATATCTTTGTTTTCACTGAATTATAAAATGACATAAACATTGTACTTTTTAGATGAAAACAATTTTTTTTTTATGTGGAATATAGTGATTTGCCAGATAACCCTAGGGTTTCAAAGAATCTGCCTCCCTGGGACCTAAATTTTTCAAGAGAAGGGAAAGTCAGTGTAACTGTCTAAAACTTAGAGAGTAAATAGCTGAGCTGATTGGACAAAATGCAAGGGTGTAAGTTCAAAGATAGTCCTGTTTCTATTTTTGTTTCGCTTTGGCACCTGGGTTTATTATATTTTAGGCTTTGTGGCTTAGCTTCATTTCTGGTTTTTTAAAAAGAATAAATCCGTGTGTGTGTATCTTTATGGGTGATATGCATGCATACTACAGTTCTTCATTCCTGCCTCCTAAAGAAATTAAATGAAGTAATTTGACATAGGAATAATACGGATAAATGGAATTCACATGTAATCCCCCAATTTTGCTTATTGTTACCAAAATATTCCAGAACATTAACAAAATCTCAAAGGATTGATTCAGTTTCACCAGTGATAGGAGTTCCTCCCACTCTTTGGGAAGGTGCTAGCAAGCTGTGAAGTGGCCCAAATGTGAGTAGCAGAAGGCTGAGAGAGAAAGCAAAAGCTGAAAGATCCTGCAAGTGCTTCTGAAAAAATGAGGGTTAGTTTTTATCTCAGACTGAGAGAGTTATTAGGAACTCTGGAATATAACTCCAGAGGTGAAATTTCTCATTTCTGAAACACACCCCCATGTAGAATTATTTCTGACGATTCCTCTTGATCTTACGGTCTTTGTCAGAGTATCGAAAAGTATATTTAATGCTTATCATAGAACCAACTTTACTAGAGAATACTTGCCTTTTCTTGCTTCTAAAAATATAACACAAGGGGAAACTAAAAGCAAGGGGAGAATGTCCTTGAATAAGAGACGTCTAAGAGAGAATGCGGCAGACTCCATAGAGAAAGTGACTTTTAGGTTGGATGTGGAGGATAGTGTGTAGGGGAGGAAATTCCAGGGGGAGGAGGGTATAAATACATGGGCATCTGAAAAGGCACGCCATGTTTTAGGAACAGTAGCATGTACAAGAGGCGAGGGCAGAGGGTCGGAGTGATCAAAGTAAGTGTGGCGCCAGACTGTGAAGGGGCTTATATAGCCAGGCTAAGTAGGTGAATAAGCCGAGAGGCCACATGATTCAGACTTATAACGTAATTGTGATGATGGTACAGAAGACAGACTAGAGTAGAAAGCCTAGGTGAGATCATTCAGGGGCTGTTGATATAGTCTGTTACAGAGATGAGGGCAGCTCAAAAGGGATACAGAGGATGTATAAATTGATCAGACAGCAGTGACAGTTTCTGGGGGCAGAGGAAAGCTGATTTCCAGGTTTTTGACTTATGTGACTGAGAAGATGATAAAGCATTTGTAAAAAAGCAGCAGCAGTTTGTGGGGTGGGGAGGAGGGCAGATAATGAGTTCATTTTGGACATATTTTATATTCTAGATACCTGTGTGATATTTTAGGAGAGAACTGATATGCAGCTGGAAATACAGATCTGGAGCTGAGCAGAATTCCTAATTGCAGATAAGAGATGTGGGAACTCATCCCATTTTGGCAATAATATTAGCAATCTGTGAAGTGATATTATATATAGTAGTTGAAATTATAGGTTCGGACAGTATTGCCCAGGAAAAATATGTAGTGTGATGAGAGACCAAGGATGAGACTCATTACTTACGGTAGAAATACACAATGAAGTCATGCCTCTAGGTTTGTGTGGCTCTATCACTTTACAAGCTGTGGGCCTTGGGAAATTAATTTCTTTGTGTCTCTCTGTTCCTTGGTAAAGTAAGAATAGTAACATTAAATGGCTCATGGAGTTTTTGTATTAAATGGTATAATACATGCACCATACTTAGAGCCCTGCCTGGCAGTTTTAGCACAAAATGATTAGTGCATTATTAAGTGAAGGAGCCAGTGAAGAAAATCAAGAAGGGATCAGAGATATACAAGTGGGCTATCAAAGATACTAGAAGAGGGTTTCTAGAGTAAGTGGTCACAGGGTCAAGTGCTAGGAGACCTAGGTCAAGTGAGACGTGGGTTAAAAAAAGACATGGAATTTTGAAAACCGTAACTAATTGGTAATATATGAGAGAAATGTTTTGGATGAGTAGATGGGAAAAACCCCAGAAAATCAGGTGACAGAAAATGAGTAACAACACAAAAGAACATGTATAGATTTAGTTTCTTGGGCAATTTAGTGGTAAATGAAATAGTGTGGTGGCCTGAGGGAAAAGCTGATTTGGGAAAGGGTCACTTTTATTATTTTTGATGTTAGGATAACGAGTTTAGATCAGAGTATGTTTGTAGGATAGAAGACAAGAGCAAGTAGAAGAGAAATTGAAGATGAGAGTGACAGAAGCCAGAGTCCTAGAGAGGCAGGTCCCAGAGCACAGGTGAGCTTTGAGGAGGAAGTGGAGACCTCTCCTCCTGACACAATGGTAGCTGATGCGGTGAGTCTCTTGATGAAAACAAAAGGGCCAGGGGCGGGGGTAGAAACTGAGGGAATTCAGGCCTGATAAACTTAATTTTCTTTGAAGTGGGAAATTAGGCCATCTACCAAAATCCAGAAGCTTAATTGGAAGAGAGAGGTGAAGAATGTGAGAATAAAATCGGGGGCTAAACAGGGACAAGAAAAAGGACTCCTGAGCAGAGTTCAACTCTACATAGAAATTAAGTGACACTTAAAGCTTTCAAAATGAAAAGCTTTTCAACTGTTTTTCCTCATGAGCCCTTCAGATTTATGATCCAAAGTTGACAGGGAGGCATGATACGTTTCCTAGCATATGGAGAGAGAAGGTTGAAGATAAAAGGATGTTGCCATTTTCACCATGAAATGGATAATCATGCCCTCCTACCAAATTTGGGGGCGAAATGTCATGAATTTGACATCCAACAGTAGAGCAGGTGAAAAGCCAGAATTTTGGCAGCATTTTCCCTGTGCAAATCTTTGTATGTTCTGTTCCAAACTAACAGTTGCAGTAGCCTTTTAATTGAAGCACTAAAACAAGATTTTTGGGAACAGTATGACTCAGATCACATTTATTTTTAGAGCTAGAATTCAGAAAATAATAATGATGATGATAATAGGTGGAGTAGGGGATGGGGAAATTTAGTAAAGCGGACTGACTGGTGGAGAACACTGAATCTCATGATTGAAAGTTTTGACTGATGCCTCCCAGTAGCCTGTGAGAGCTCAAGTATGAAATTGATGGAATCAAAACCATGTTTGAGGGAAGATGGTTCTGGCAACTGTATGAAAAAGACTAGTTTCTTATCTAGTATCTTGTTGTTCAGTGTGTCCCACACCAGTTGTAGCAGTTGTCTCTGGGGTGCCTATTGAGTTTTCTGGGCCTATTGGAGGATTAAACAGGGATGGGAAGTGTTGGAGAGAACTTTATGTGGGTAGGAGAGAACCCAGAACAGGTGATGACAGAGCCAGATAACTTATGTATAATTATCTTCATTTTATCATCCCCTAGTCCAAAAGCAGTTTTAGTACTGTAGAGAGGACAGTAACTGATGAGGGTCTGCAAGTAACAAATGCTAGGATTTGGATCCAGGCAGTCTGACTCCAGTGCTGGCATCCTTAACCATTAAGCCGTATGTCGTTACTTTACAAATGATAAAACATTTTATAAATTTTAACTACTGTTTCCCAATTATGGTATCCTAATCTAGGAATTATTGCTCAATACTGTTTTCTATGTAAAGTAGTAGTAAATGAGCATCCCTTGTTGTATTAATAAGCTATATGGTTACTAAATAGGCTAGGGACCCTTTGGCTAGGCTCTCTCCAAGTACCCAGAGAAAAACAATGAATGTACAGTGAATGGATCGGGAAGTGCTCCAGATCTGAAAGATCCAGAATGCATTGCAGGTGATTAATTTTCTCCATAGTCTGGTGATAGACTGGTGAGACCTTGGGCCCACACTAGGCTAGGTTTCTATCTCCACTCCAAGCACCCCATATATAGCTACACATCACTGCTTAACAGTTGCCTCTGTGCCTTGCTTATGCTAATTCCTTCAACCGAGGGCCAGCCCTTCTCTGCCTGGTGATAACTAACTTATCCTTCAAGACCCAGCTCAAATGTCATTCTATAAGTGCATGAACTAAACAAAGGAGGGCCTTGGGGGTTCTCACAGTTGTTCACAAGTGGAGAATGAACAACAGCAATAAAGACGGTGGGGGTTCGATCAGAGACAAATGAAGACAGCAAGAATATGGTAGTCCCTGAAGAGGAGAGAAATGTGGCCATACATTTTCCAGTTCTCTAGAAGTTACAAGTAAAGCGGCATTAAAAAGTAGAAAGCAAACTGGATTGGGAACCAAGAGACTAACATTCTAGTTCTCGTGTCTGAATCTTGGGATGACTTTCCCTGGCTTGAGGGGAGCTGGACTTGATTTTTAAAAATCCCTTGTAACTCAAACCTTTCTCTGTGCTAGCAGCATAAAGCTATTAATTTGAAAACAAGGACAGAAAATTAAGTATTTAATGAAGAGAATGACCACAACTTTGGTTTGTTTTTCAATGTGGACTTGTTCTCAAATCTCAATTAAATCAAACTTTACTAGTAAAAAAAAGTAGATCTGTTAACCAACAAAATTTTTCTATGTAACACTGAATTTTTCAATGCAGCAAAAAGCTTAGATTTGACATTTGTTGCCATGCTCAGCTAAGCCTAAATCATAGCTAGAGGCACAAGATTGAGTGTAAGCTAGTGAGAAATTAAGCCCAGTGAATGGCAATTATTTAACTAAGTAAGGAGTGAGCAGCATCTGATTAACAAAGAATTCAAGTATTTTATCTGAAACTAGTTTATAAATTCTTTCCAGTAAATTCAGATCACAATCCAGTAAATTGTGATCAGTCACAGCATTGGCCATAAACATTCTTACATGCAACGTAAACCAAAATCTGACTTCCTTTCTAATTCCCACAGGAGACGCTGAACATAAGCCATATATCTGCGGGGATGCAGATTCTGCCTCGACTGTTTTGGATGGAACTGAAGACTACCTCATTCTGGCCTGTGATGGCTTCTATGACACCGTGAATCCCGATGAGGCGGTCAAAGTCGTATCTGACCACCTGAAGGAGAATAACGGAGACAGTAGCATGGTCGCCCACAAATTAGTTGCATCAGCTCGTGATGCTGGGTCAAGTGATAACATCACTGTTATTGTGGTATTCCTGAGGGACATGAACAAAGCTGTAAATGTTAGTGAGGAATCAGATTGGACAGAGAACTCTTTTCAAGGAGGGCAAGAAGATGGTGGGGATGATAAGGAGAATCATGGCGAGTGCAAACGCCCTTGGCCTCAGCACCAGTGCTCAGCACCAGCCGATCTAGGCTATGATGGGCGTGTGGATTCATTCACTGATAGAACTAGCCTGAGCCCAGGGTCCCAAATCAACGTGCTGGAAGACCCGGGCTACCTAGATCTCACACAAATAGAAGCAAGCAAACCTCACAGTGCCCAGTTTTTGCCACCAAATGAGATGTTTGGTCCTGGTGCACCAAAGAAAGCAAATTCTATTAATGAGCTAATAATGGAGAAAAAATCAGTTCAATCATCATTGCCTGAACAGAGTGGTGCTGGAGAGTTTCCCTCTTTTAATTTGGGTTCAACAGGGCAGCAGATATACAGAATGGAGAGCTTATCTCCTGTCTGTCCTAGGTTGGAAGATGAACAGTTCAAATTCCTGGGAAAGAGAGTTTCCAGATTGTCTCATTTACGCTATCGTTATTCAAAGAGACGGCACGGATTCAGGTTTAATCCAAAGTTGTATTCATTTATGTCTGCTCAAGAGCCTTCCCAAAAAATAGGCACTAGTCTATCCTCACTTACTCGAAGTGGGAAGAGAACTAGGTTGTTCAGAAGTTTTCTGCCATGGAGGCAAAATATTTGGAAAGGATATAGTGCAAACATGAGGAAGCTCAGAAAGAGTAATGATATTGCAGATCCAGGCCTTCCCTGGAGCTACAAAATATAAAACTTCCTCTTTAAAGTAGGCTAGCTAGCTCTCCCCCAATAAAAACACCACTATCAGAGTAGAAACAAGGTAGACATTTCTGAAATATATGTGCTTCATTATGAAACCATGGATGGCTCAATTCTTAAATGTAAATAGATCTCTAGGAAACTCAAAGTAGTGTTTTCAATCTAAAACAAAAGTATTGGCGGTTTCACTAGCAAAATTATACAACTAGTCCCTGTGATGTGTCTCCACACCTACAAACGACCCCCACTTTACTACCCCTTCACATCCCTAGTGGAAGTTTGTGAGTTATTTTAGTCAGGGTATCTAGTGTTGAAATCTCAATGCAGGTGAAATCTGGTTTGATGTGCCTAATATTATCTATGGAAAACTTAAAGCAGAATCAGATGTAGTTGGGGGATGTTCCTCAAAAGACTGGGGACTACGAGGGAAACCCTCCCCTCTTTTTTCAGTTGGTAAAAGACTAAAAGCCATATGGGTTTAAATTGGTTACAACGAAAGTAGAAAACTAGCATAAAAGTGTCATGTTTTCTGACTTGTGAAGTGGTATATAGTCAAAAAGATTTACTGATTTTTTTTCCTGTAACATAAAAGATAAAAATTTTCTGAATTAAAAAGTACTTCCTAGGGCTGTGTAGCTATTTGGGAGTTTCATAACCTGTTATGGTGCTTTTGGTGGGATTTTTATTATTTGTCATTTTAGAAGACCGCTGTCAACTGGTTTTAACCTATGATGCTATGATGTTTTCACTGTACCTTCATCTCAGGAATAAAACTGGTCTAATGGAGATGATGTTAGGTACAAATATACTAGAATCAAGCTGCCATTTAAAAAAGAAAACTCAAATAGTATTTCTATTTTTTCTGCCTTTTTTTTTTTTCTTAAGTTCACAGACAGCAAAGGCATATACTACTACAAAATAAAAAGTGGCTTTGGAGAATGAAAAATATTGGTTTTAACTTCTCTAAAATTGTTTCCCCCAAGGGAATGAAATACCTGGTGTGAAAGAGGTTGAAAGTACTGCCTAAAGTGAGCCCCGAGGCCAAGTGCAAAGGAGAAGGCAGGTAAACAGAGCCTGAGGTCTATTTAGTTATGAATGGAGAAAGCTCTACAGTCCTGCTACCTGCCACTTCAGACTGCAGAGAGGATGTCTTTCTCATTTCAGTACTTACATTTGATAATTTGAAGTTGTCTGCTTTTTGCCGTTTCTGTAGTTTGAAGCTAGAAGCGTATCTTCAACTAAAGACAGCAAATAAACTAGTAATCAGATTCAGTCAGTGAAGCAGCCTCTGATTCTCTTGAGAATCATGAACATCACCACATGACCTCTTTCCCTCCCCTAGTCGACTGTGGACCAGCCATGCCAATGGCTAGGAGCTGCCCCCTCACTCACACCACTGGGGGGGGGGGGGGGGGAACGGACCAAATGCTCTTGCCAAGAAACGTCCACTGCCTGTGTTTTTACAAAAAAATACAATTACTCGGTTCCCCACACCCATGATGGAAACTCAGATTCCATAGCATATTCCGGACGCCAGTATAGCTCTAGCAAACACACAAGAACTTCACTTTAGCAATGATCAGATTAATCCATAGGTTTTATTTTTAAAAATTTGGATATAAGTAGAGATTTTCAGTATTTTTCGTGATCTTGAAGTCATTTATTCTTTTTCTCAAGTCTTGCGACACATGGCTGAGAAGGAGGGAATAAATGTGGCTCCGACTACAGTACCAGAATCTTTTCACCAACCTGACGTTTGACCCTCATACACGGACCCCACTCACGTCTGTCATTTCCTGAAGCCTAGATCTTGTTAACAACCCATCAGATGCAGTGTCAGTTTCAAATCAAATTATCTAAGGAAACAAGAAAGCAGGCAGCAGAATATTGGTACACATTATAATCCAAAGCACTTACTGAAATTAAACAATTTTTTCAAGATTTTCTATAGTTGTCCATTGCTACTATTTTTGAGCAGAATAAAGAAGGTGAAAGGAAAGATACAAATGATAGGTTTTTTCAGTGGGGAAAAATGGTTGGATAAAACTCAGATGAACACAGACCACATCCTTAAGGGTCTGAATTTCGTAGATCTGACTATATAAGCAGTGTTAATTCCATTTTTCATACCAGTAGCCCTCTAGAAAATAAAGCAAAGTAGTTCTAGTGTGGTCAACTTATAAACCAATATTGTGAAAAATAGCAACTATTCATTTGTTCACAACATGCATATTTATAGAGTAGTTAGGTACCATTTGTAAAGGTAAGTCCTTTAAAATTCTATAATATTAAAGTAGTGGTTATTGGTATGATACATGCTGCTCTTGGTTCCATAAACTAGGTAAAAAGCAGTGCTTTGTGAAATGCAGTGTTATATCTTAATGCCACTGGTGATAGAAAGTAGTTCCCTTCAGTTCAAATCCTGTGCCCTTATTTGCTGCTTGCTAATGTAAGCAATAAGTACCCCTCTAACTAATGGTATCTACACATTCTGTAACTTGTATTTAATGACGGTGTATCTGGTGATTGTAAAAATATTAGACAGTATAAAAGTATATATAATATATATTAACTGTTAATGCTGAGGTAATAGTCTGTGAATTACGTGTTTTGTACTTTTACTAATTGTGTAATTTAGTGGTGGTGAAAATCCTACACTCAATCCTTAAGAGTGACGGTATCCCTTTTTCAATTTAACATGATCTGCATCAATTTGTTTGCTTGCTAAAGTGTTGTTAGAATAGGAAATAGTAAAACAAATATAAACAAGAAAGTATAGTACTCGTTAGGGAAAAAAGACTTCAAGTTACCAAATGAAGTCATTACAAACTCCTTGTACATTCACTGTGAGTTTCAAAGGGAATCAATCCCTAACTTAAAGGTTTCCTTTGTTCACTTTCTAGATGTGTACTTTTGAGGGATATCTGAGGTTTAGCAACATTACAGCACCAAACACTGGGGCAATTAATCCCACTCACATCTGTGCTAAAGAGGATGGTGGAAACACATATGTATATACCTTTTCTTTACCTAGAAGTGCCATCCACTGTCCTTGAATTAATACAATTAAAAGTTTCTGTTGCATTTAACTAGGCGGATCCTTGAAAGTAACACCTTTTCCAAGGACCATGTCAACAATGTTAATGTCAACACTGAGTCTGAGTCTGACCACGTTTGTAGTGCTGTAATGTCAACGCGGTGGTATAGCGTCACGCCGCATCTTCTCGACAACCGTACTCCATTGTTGGAACACTGTGCCAGTAAGAAGTGCAACATCTGATGGGCAGACGAAAATGATGCATAAAGAAGTTCAGTGTTTACAGATAAAACTGCTGTGGTTCAAGTACTTCCTTCCCCATCAAAGGCTTGCCAAGGCTTTGTGAGAAAGTGATTTGTAAATTATTATTTTAGTGTTTAAATACAATGTATTCACTTGATGACCATTCTCACCTACGCAAGGCCATAAAGGGGGATGCTATAGCTTTGGTCACATCATCATTTCGGACAATTTTTCTTTGAATCATAAATTAGCAAAAGAACATACTTTTTTCACCTTTTAAAATCCTGTCATATTAATGGATAAATTACTCACCCTTCTGTTCTAACCTGTGAATAGCTTAAAAAATTTTTTTTCAAAATAAGATACTGCCAGTATTATCACATGACTATTTTCCAGACAAATGGTACTGTTTTGAAAAATAATTGTTACTTCATCTAGCAGCATTTTATCTTCTATTTTGAAGACTACTTATTGTACTAATTAGGAAAAAGCAAATAAAACTGGGAACTCCAGACTGATACAGCAGTTGTTCTGGAAAAGGAAATACTCTAATAAACTCTGATGTATTAGATAATCCACAGATACATCATTGTTAACTCTTACTCTAGGTGCTCTTTGGTGAGAGACCGGCTTTGTTCCCTTGTTCATGACATTTCTCTGCAAAGAATTCTCTATGGAGTGAAGCGAATGAAGTGAATCATTTCTTACCAAGTATATTTATTAATTTACAGACCTGCTCTACAGCTCACTTTTGAGTTCAGTTGTAATCATGAGTGACCCTTCATATTTTATTTATTAAAACTGTTCATTCAGGTAAGATGTATGTTGAAATTTTGCCAATACCTTAATAAAACCCAGCAATTTAAAACCATGAGTCATTTGTTTTTTTATTCAAAGGAAAGATAATTTACTTAGTGCTAAGGTTAATTATTGCAATGATGAACCTCAAACCAAACACAACTCCCAACCTAGATTAATTCAGACTCTGCAATGCAAGTCTAAGCAGGAGGAAAGACCTGCCCATTTTCAGGTGTAAAAACAATTCAAACGATCTACTGCCCTACACAAGATGTCACTTTCAACAAAATATATAAAGCCACATGAAAAAAAAAAAAGTGTTCTGAAGACTGAAGAAATCATCAGAACCCAGACTCCCACCCTTAATAGCCAAAGCAATCTTGAGAAACAACAACAAAGCTGGAAGTGTCACAATCCCAGATTTCAAAATATACTCTAAAGCTGTAGTAATCAAAACGGTACGGTACTGGCACAAAAACAGTCCTAGTGATCAGTGGAACAGAATAGAGAGCCCAGAAACCCACAAGGTCAACCTATGACGAAGGGTAAAAGTACACAAGAGGGATAAGTCAGTCTCTTCAATAAATGGTGGTAGGAAAAATGGACCACACTCTTTACATGATATGCAAAAATAAACTCAAAATGGATGAAATACCTAAATGTGAGACCTGAAACCAACAATGGTTTCATTTATATGTGGAATCTAAAAAACAAAAAGCAGAAACAGACCCGTAAGTACAGAGAACTGATGGCTGCCAGAGGAGAGGGTAGTAGGGACATGGGTGAAGGGGGGGAGTGGGAGATACAGGCTTCCAGTTAAGGAATGAGTAAGTCACAGGGACAAAAGGTACAGCATAAGTAATACAATCAGTTTGGGTATTGTAATAGTGTTTTATGGTGACAGATGGTAGCTGTCACTTGGGGGCATTGCATACTGTATACAGATGTTGAATCACTATGTTGTATATCAATTATAAGTCAAAGAAAAAATACACAACTCTGAAGAAAAAAAAAAAACCAGATTCTGTTATGAAAATGGTGGACAACATATGCAAGATCTTATGGGCGATTTCAGCAAAGAGAAA